GGTCTAGGCCCGAAACGTCAGCCTCTCTGCTCCTATGATGCTGCTTGACCAGCATATGAGGTTTATTGGAGCACAGTGGTAGTGTCCCTACCTCTGGGCCAGAAGACCTGGGTTTGAGTCCCACCTGTTCCAAAGGTATGTCAGAATGTCCCTGAACAGGTTGATTAAGAATATCTATAATACTAATTAAAACTCTGATCCCCTTATAAACTCCCCTTACATACAAAGGTAGGCTGGGTAAAATAAGTTATGGACATAGGGGGAAAACTAGAAAGACAATTCAGTTGTACCAGTCCTAGGTATTGATGCTGATCCTTGTGATTTTTGCGTGTTGCTTCACTTGCCTTTCTCTGGTTTCTTCCACTAGGTTGGTGAAAGGCACAAGATGGCTGGTACACTTATAAGTTTCTGACTTATCAATAACAATTCACAGCTTACAGCAACTGTTGCAGGGGGGATAAACTGGTTTTCTTCAGGCTTAGTGATTTTGACTGCAGAGAACAGAGAGACTGCTCCCAAGCTAGGGAAGAAATGAACACTTCTCTCTCAGTCTGTAAGTTACCCCTAGCTCCAAGCAGTTAAATTACCTGAGAACTGATCACACAGTTATTATAGGCAAAAAGGCCTCAATCATGAATGACTGGTCATTAATCTATATAGGCCAACAAACTTCTTATTGCCAGCAAAATTAGCGTCGGTACACCCCTTGGCTCTATATTACCTGCAACTCAAACTCCAATTTCTGTTTGTTCCAATGGTTGTTTATGAGCTTTGCCATGGGTGTCAGATTACTTGCTTTTTAAAACTTATAGCCAACCTTACAAACACTGGTTTTGAAACAGTACTCTCTCATTCAGTCCACAAAAGCACAAAATAAAAAGACACGGTTTTTATAATTACAAGTTCTGGAGTTCCCACACAAGTGTTTTCCAAAACTTGGACCTTATTTTAAAGTCTCAGACTTCATGTGGCCTTGATCTGGGCCATATGAGTGCTGCTCTACAAAGACGAGGGGCCAGCAGTGAGCGAAGGAAAGACTTTCATTATTCAGAAGGGAAAGGTGGGGAAACAGGCGTTTCAGCATTGGGAGAGGTGAAGAAAGGTCAGGGTTTCATCAAAACCAAATAACTATCTACCTTTTCACAGGTCAATGCTTTTAATCAACTGCAGCAGCATTTGGGCCTCAGGATGCAGTCCCTCAAGCCATGCCCACAAATAGGCGAAAACTGAAGGATTTAAAAAGACCTCACAGCTATCAGAAATCAATCCGAGCTCCATGGTAACCACTATTGCCTTGAAGTTCATGACCCCAAATCCTCATCTTGAGACCTTCTCACAGTTTGAGAAGCCCTTGACAGCAAACTTCATTAGGGAGTGAAAGAAAGTTAATCAGATCAAATACCTCCATAGTAAATGGAAGCCTTGCTCGTCAACAATTCATCAACTTACTACAGTGGACAACCGATGGCTTGTGCCCACAGAGATCTAAAGGGTACTGCCCAAAGAAGTACTGTCAATAGACGAATATCTGCTACAACCATGTCCTTTTGCTTCTTTTCTAAGGAGCCAAGATCCAGCTTATAAAGTCCCTACAGTGTGGAAACAGGCCATTTGGCCCAACAAGTCCACACTGATGCACAGAAGAGTATCCCACCCAGACTCATCTCCCACCCTATATTTTCTATGGCTAACACGCCTAACCTACACATCCCTGGACATTCCCTGGGCAATTTAGCATGGCCAATCCACCTAACTTGCACATCTTTCAACTGTGGGAGGAAACCAGAGCACCTGGAGGAAACCCACGCATACACGGAGCGAATGTGCAAACTCCCCACGGACAGTCACCCAAGGGTGGAATTGAATCGGATCCCTGGTGCCATGAGGCAGCAGTGCTAACTCCTGAGCTACCTTGCCACCCTATAGATGATGGCAGTACATTTTCATGTAGGTTCTCTTATTCATTTTCCAAAACTTTGGCAGAAAAGCTACAGAAACAATAAAGCTCAGAGATATAAAGTAGATTTTTAAATGAAAGATCCTGGAGGTTGGGGTCGCACAATAGATGGCCCAGCTAAAGAAGAGAAATACACAAGGAAATCTGTACACAGACCAAGCAGGTCAGTAATAATAACAACAATAGATTTTAATTACTTGCTCATTACTGAGGCAGGGAGGATATAAACAGAAAATAGGGAATGAATTTCATAAAATTAATATTCAATTTGTTCCTCAAACAATATATTTGGATCTCTACAAGGGCAAAGGTATTGGTTAGATTTGGTTAAGCAAAAGCAATAGATCAGATCGAAGAGTTAAATATGAGAGAGGATCTTATTAAACCTGAACACAGGATAAGATACAAGTAGAAAATGTAAGAACGGGGCAGACTGTAAAAAGATAGGAGGGTTGAGCTGAGATGGAGTAAACCAACAGATTTTTGGTCACTCACTCAGCCTATCGATGTCTGTCTGCGACTTTCTTATGTCATCTTTACAATATAGTTTTCTACTTACTTTGGTGCCACCTGTGAAGTTAGCTATCAACCCTTCACTTTCCTCATCCAAGCCATTGGGGTAAATTGTAAAATGTTGAGGCCCAGGTACAGACCCCTGTATTTCACTCATCGCATCCTGCTAATTGGACAGAGACCCATAGATGCATCTGCTCTGTTTTCTGCCGGTAAATCTTTTGTCCATATTAATATCAATATGTCCATATTAATATGTTACGCACATACCACAAGCTCTCTGTTTCCACAATAACCCTTGAGGTGACAGCTTATCCAGCTTGCTAGAAATTCAAGTACTGTGTGTCTGCACAGTCCTCTCTAAAACAACTTGAAACAACAGTAATAGACTTGTTAAACATGGTTTCCCTTTGCCAAAACCATGCTGCCTCATTCCAATTACCTTGAGTTTTTCTAAACCTGCAATTGTTTTAGAGATTGATTCCAACCTGGTCCGGACAGAGGGGAGAAACTGTTCCCACACAAATAGAACGAGGACTGAAAGGCACAATTTGGAAAAGTTTTGCAAAAGATGCAAATATAAGGTGAGAAATAAATTTTTCACACTCCGAATAGTTAGGGTATGGAATGCTCTGCCTGAAAATGTGGTAGAGGCAAGTTCAATTGAGGAATTCAAAAGTGTATTTAAATAGAAACAATAGAAACAGGGTTAAAGGGAAAAGGGAGAATATTGGTGCTAAGTTAAACCACTCAGAGACCCAGTACAGACACAATGGGCTAAGTGGCCACTTTATACATATAGGATTTTGTGATTCTGTGAAACTAACTGGCCTATGGTTTCCTGCTTCCAGCCTCCCTCCCTTCTTGAATAGAAGAGTTCAATTATTTTGCTTTTTAGTGATATGGAACCACTTCAGAATTGAACATATTTTGCAAAATTAGCACTAACACATCATCCTCTTAAGACTTTAGGATGAAATTCATCTGGGCCCGGAAACTTATCAGCCCACAGTTCCATTGGTTTGCTTTATACCAATTCCCTCTTGATTGCAATTTTGCTACGTTCCATTCTCCCTTCCACCTCCAAATATACAGTTGTTACTGTACTATGTTTTTATGCTCCATAGTGAAGACAAAAGTGAAATATTTGTTCATTTTATCTGGCATTACCTTTTTATCTGTTATTAACTCGCTGTTGTTTTGGTCTCTGGAGGACCAAAACTCACCTTAATCATTAAGTACACATCTTGCACATGTTTATGAGGGCCTTCAAATTGATTTGACAACTGCTCTGTAAAATTGGTTTCAGCACAGTCCATTCCATTTTTCCAACTCCTTTTCAGGTCTAGCCAGTAGTCCCATAACGATGGAACTCACGGAAAGAAATAATTTTTGCTTCTTCTTTTTCAACTTACCTTAATAAGCCAGCAGGATAAGGAATTGTTCTCCTGCATTCACAATACCAGTGTGGGCTAATGATCCACACTCATTCCTCATTCTTCCCATTCATCTCCCCATAATTTCTTTAGTTATTAAAGTTAACAAAAAGTTGTAATTCTCTTTAAAAACCAAACCAGCTGCAGATACTGTAAATCAGAAATAAAAACAGAAATTGCTGGAAATGCCCAGCAGATCTGGCAGCATCTGTGGACAAAAATCAGAGTTAATGTTTTGGGTTGAATGACCCTTCCTCAGAACAGTTCTTGGAAGGGTCACTCAACCCAAAACATTAACTCTGATTTCTCTCCACAGATGCTGCCAGACCTACTGGGCATTTCCAGCAATTTCTGTTCTTGTTTGTAATTTTCTTTCTTAGCCTAGTTGCATTTAATATTATTAATGATAAATTTAAATTAAACTGCACAAAACGTGCTGCACTAACTGGCTAAGTGAAGTCTATTATAAGGTGATGTTCAGTTTTCTTACAGTTTGATCAAGTCCTGATGTAGATTTTGTTAGTCGGTCTTTATTATCGTGTATGTGCTCTGTACAGTACCTGATTGAATGATAGTGTTCCAGCAAGAGGACCAAGGTCATTAACTGCAGAATCATCCACCTGCCAAACAATCTGGACTGGACCATAACCACCATCACGACTGACTGTGAAGGACACCAGTCCAGCTGGATCGTCAGCAGTCTTTGGCTCTCCAACAGTCACCTAAGAGAACACAATTATGCTTCATTGTACAATAACCACAACTAGTGGTTCTGTCTCTCTACCATCTCTACACCAAATCTCACAATTTGTAAATACTTATATTCATGTATGATTCAGATATTCCATGACTAATACAATTAGCCCCTGAATGGTACAGAAGTAACAAAGGGGGAAGATAAGAGATTTTCAGCAGATTGGGTGATTAACATGTCCAATCACTGCAAAGCAGCAATCAACAAAGCAAACAATGTTAAATTACATAATGTAAAGTACCAGCAATCATACAAGGCTGGTGATCAGGGATAAGGAGAATTCAAGACAATACCTGGAAATGTTGCAGAGAACATATACTAAACTGATGACTCGTGTCACAGGATGAAATTATAAAACAAGACCAGGACCAGGACAGATTTGAGAATTTCAACCTTAAAAGGAGGCAATGGAAAGAACAACGTCAAGAACCTGTTAAATCAGGGATCAGTAAAGACTGAGGGACTTTGAAGAAAGTAACTGAAAAGTTGAATGATATGGTTATCTGTTGTAGACAGAGAGGAAACATAATGAGGAAAGTGATGAAATGCTACTGCCAAGAAGGAGCAGACAAAGTCCCGATGGCAGGTGGGAGGATAAAATGGTGAGAAATGTAAGTGCAAGATAGGAGGAGGAATGGGTCGTTGACAGAATGGGGTGGAGAAGGGAAATCATACTGCATCATGGTAATTTCAAATAAAATGGGATAGGTCAAAGGAGAAGAATAAGAATTATATTTTCTTTCACAACAGAGTGGCCAAAATGTGAAATGAAGCTTTGAGGTCAATGTTGGATTCAAAATCGCTGCAACGACTTAAGAAATGACCTTTACTTTGATGGGACTTCAATATCAAGTAGGAATGAGTTAGATGATCTGCACAAATACAAGCTATTGTTGCATTAATCTTGTGATGTCGATCATAAACAATGTGAATAAAAGGTCAAAAAGTCAGAGAAAGTAGTTCTATCCTGATGCTCAAAAATAAATATTGCAGCTGTTAAATTTTATATATTCTGGATGAATATAAAAGACAAAGTTTAGAAATGAAATGCTTACACTGCAAATATACAGTTGCTATCAAACACTTGCATGCAAGGTATGGTTACATGCAATCTAAAGCCTTATTTCCTTTGATGACATGCTCCAATGCCTGACTGATATTTCCAGCTGTACCTCTATGTTTTTCTTTCCCATACTTTCTGTACTATTAAACTACCAGCAATACTTAGGACTCTCCTCTTTCTCAGCTTGGGCTTTTTGAATTCCTAGAAGTCCATTAATCACAACTGCCTGCCTGCCAGAGCTTCCCTCCTAAGAATGTGGCATGTTTACTTTTACATTTAAAAGCAAGCTAACTGATTTACTGCCAGAATCAACATGTGAAAGAAACTATATGTTAGTGATTTACATTCAGTGGAACAAAACTGAAATTTTATATCATTTAAATTACTAATGATCCTTTGACTTTACAGAAGACCATAACAAAAAGGAACAGGAGTAGGCTGTTCAGCCCTTTGTGCCTGCTCGACCATTCAATAGGATCATGGTTAATCCAACATTCCTCACACTCACTTTCCTGTCTTTTCCCCATAACCCTTGATTCCCCTACTGATCAAGATCTATCTCAATTTTAAATATGCACAAGGACTATGCTCCTCAGCTTTCTGTAACACTGAGTTCCAAAGACTCTCAACATTCTGAGAGAAGGAATCCTTCCTCATCTATGTGTTAAATTGGCACTGGTTTGTTCTGAGACTATGCACTCTGGTCCTGGATCCCCCCATGAAAGAAACATATCCTTTCAGCATTTACCCTGACAGGCCCCTTAAGAATCCTATATGTTTCAATAAGTTCACCACTCATTCTTCTAAACTTCAGTGGGTAAAGTCCCAACATGTTTAACCTTTGCTCAAAAGACAGCACCCCATAACAGGGATCATCCATGTGAACATTTTCTGAACTACCTCCAACAAAATAATATCCTTCCTTAAATAAAGCAATCAAAATTGCTCATGGAACTCCAGATGTGGTCTCATCAGCATCTTGTACAGTTGCAGTAAGACTTCCCTACTGTCATACTCCTACCCCATTAAAATAAGGGCCTACGTTCTGTTAGCTTTTCTGATTACCTGCTCCGCCTGTGTGCTAATTTTCTGTGTTTGGTGCACCAGTTATCCCAAGTCCCTTTGTATTGCAGCTTTCTGCATTTTTTTCAAGATTTAAGTAATACTCTATAAAGGAAGAGATTTTTCTTTGTGTAATATTCAATTCTATTCTACAGTGCTCAAATGCAAATTCAAGCAAAGGAGTTCCTACAATTATCACCATGTGGGATACTGTCATCTATTCAGTAAACTGGGGCATTCTGATTGTATGGGTGGAACTCAATGCAGCCTCCCCACACGAGAAGGTGAGTTTGCAGGAAGGCTGTAGTCAGAAAGTGCAGGGTGGCAATAACTCTGTCCAGTGAAGTTCAAGACAGGAAGGTTAGAAGACAGATTTCCTGCCCCAGGGCCAATTGAGGCTTCAAAGTAAACAGTTAGAGGCCTCATGCTGTCACCTCTGGGTTTTGATGCCACCAGGCCTAACACGAGGAAGACCCAAGGGTTTGCCTTGGGTCTGGCAAAGGGAAAACTCTCTCCTTGTCCAATAGAAGCACCCACCCAGTGGAAACAGAGAAAGCCTGAGTAAGATCTCTGCCTCTAAGCATCAAATCAAACCTCACCCCAGCGCTCACTATGTGCAGACAATGAGGCCTCAATGAACCTGCTACTTAATTTGTCCCTGTAGCTCATGCAAACATACAATTTCAGAGAAGAAATATACCATTCAGCACCTTGGGACTCCTATGCCATTCAGCAAGATCCGGGCTGATCTTGATTCCATTGTCAATCCACGACCTCAAACATATGCAGTCCTGCCATTAGCCACAGCTACCAATGACACTGCCAGGGCTGACTAACCAGCAGCTCTCAGAATGCGATTTTTGGAGAGTTTCCTCTCAGAGGAGCAGGGAGATAAGTGCCCAATTGTGTCTTAATCTCAGTGGACCTCCAATAAATGGCCACAGTGGTCTCATCTCACTTCATAGGACCATATAACTAAAGAAAAACCAAAGAATCTATTCGTGTTGACGATTTTTTAAAATCACAGCAGAGAATGGCAACATGTTCAAAAACTATTTTGTTAATGACGTAACAACTTCGAGAAATCTTTCTGAACTTGCTCAAACTTTATTTGTTTTTAATTCTTTCAACTTTACTAAAATCCTGCACAACACTTGAGAATGTGGGTATAATAGCTGTCTTACACAATCATCCAAAGCACGTGATAACATATTATTCGCCCATTTTAAACTCCATCTGATTTATTTTCCATTGACTTGAAAGAAAAGGATATTAGGACATTGTGTATAAAAGAGTCTGACTTCAATTTATTTTGCACTACCACTCAAAATTAATTTCACTCCCCTTTTTCCATACTGACTCAATGTAATTGTGATATTGAGATATTTGACATGCAAGTAAATAATCTTTTTTGTTAACTTTGGAGATTACCATCCTTTCTCAGATTCTTTACAAACAACATATAGCCACTGAATGTCAGACATAAAAAAGATTGAGAAAAAGGGAAAAGATTACTCACAGATCGTTCCCCAAACTGAAACACACCAACAGGTGAATCATTGTTTGGAATGTTGACGGTAACTATAATATCGTTTCCCATTTTGGCACCTCCTGTTACTCGAGTCAGGAAAACAGTGAACGTCTCCAGAAATTCTGTCAAGTTATCATCCACTATAATGATCTCTAGGACAGCAGAAGACTACAAAGAAATGGGATAATGAAATTATGCAACATTCTGAGAGTTTACATTTCATGAGTTTGCAATTAATAGAGCTTAAAACCGGAAAATCATTTTTGTTCAGATTAAATGGTGTTGTAAGTTCTGCTGCAGAAGGTTTAAAGAAACTTGACAAGGAATGACAGCCTTGAGATTACATTAGATAGGAGAAACAAGATTTGCACGGAACTGAGAGAGACAGGTATCACTAACGTAGGAAATATTATTTCATTAGTTGGAACAAAGCTAAGGAGGAACGCAATGAGGTCTAAATTCAATTTACAACGCATGTATGGAAACACAGAGAGCAGCACATGGGCTGCAGCGGTTCAAGAAGGCAGCTCACCACCACCTTCTCAAGGGCAGCTGGGGATGGGTAATAAATACTGGCCAGCCAGCGACGCCCACATACCACAAATGAATAAAACAAAAAGCAGGCACAGGTAGCACAGCCAACAAGAGTAAGATGTTATGGTGATAAAGGAGACCAGACTCAAATAAAGGCAGGGCTGAGGACTGGATATATGATATTTAAGAAAGATAGGAAAGAAAAAAGAAAGGTTGCAGTATTGATTCAGGAAAATATGAGAGTGCTAGAGAGAGCGGAGGTCTTTGAAAGATGAAGGACAGACCTATTTTGTTACAGTTAAGAAATAAAAGAGGAAAAATTACACTGCTGCATAAAATGTATGGGCTATCACCTATTGGGAAGGGAAATAAATATAAAGTCTAAAGAGCTTTATTACAGACAGCTGGAGATTATTGATTTCTTGAGAGTGTTGAGAGGCTGTAGAATGCAGCATGCGGAATAGTGTCTGAAGCAGGAATAAAGCAGCTAAAATATTCAATATCAGTGGAGTCAGAAAATAGCTCATCATAGATCAGCCACCTGTTTATACACCACAAATGTTTTACAGGTTGGGTGTACAACAGGTACCAATTCATTGCTGTCCATTTTCAGTTCCCAGCAAAACTGAATCCTACTCTCATGACAATGGTTCAGCAGAATAGGTTAACAAATGGCTGAAGAAAGTGGAGATAAAGGCATAGTCAAGCAGGAGATGGGATTAGGATGGTTGTTTGTGTGAAGGATAAACATGGACTGGTTAGACTAAACAACCCATTACTGTGATGTGATTTTTCTGTAAACTGTGCAAATCACAAACTTACCCTTCCATTAGCGAAGGTGAGGTTTCCATAAGATGGTGTGAAATCTGAGAAATTGGCACTTTCTGGCCGTGCTTCCCAAGCTACATTTATCTCCCCAAATGTACCAGAGCTTCTGATCACTAGTAATTGTAGAAGATTTCTTGGAGGGGCCACCTCATAAGCAATAATTGCACTAGTTTCATCCTGTGGATTTGACAGAAATCAACATTACCTAATTAATTTTCACTATCACAGACTAAAAACTGCACAGAATTGGTAAAGGTTTTTATATTAACCCATCATCTTATATAGGAATGTATATTATGTGATGTAAAATTTCAGTTTTTTTTGGTGTCAAGCCAAACAATTTAGGTATATCTTACTGTTACACACTTAGGAACAGTACTCCAGAAATGGCAACATGTCTTGTCTAAATAGATTTTACGCATGCCACTAACTTCCACATCACTACCTCTACAATCTTTAAATTGTTTGGGTTGTCAGATATTTCTAGGGACATAGGAACAACTATGCTTTTCCTAGTCTCTTAAAATTCTTGAATAAGAGCACCCTTCTTCAACATTTTAGAAGTGATCTCCAATAATTTATATATGTCTGTGTGAATAGTGTGGGTGTTTTGTGGCTGTGGTTAAAAATTTCATCAGGGTCCTAATATGCTTGCATTACAATGTAATTGGAGTCTAGGATCTAATTTCCCAAGTGTAAATGGAAATGGCACAGAGTATATTGTTTTAATTTTGGTCTCAAAACACATCATTAGCTTCATAATGCTGTTTGTGAGAAAGACAAAAATCAGCATTAAATCAAGGCTCCTTTCCAATTTTGAATTTAGCAAAAGGTTACAACACTAGCTCTGATCCTACTTCACTGCTAATCTCAAATGCAGCCATGGATTTACACAAAAATACCCTCAAATTGCTTGTAGCCAGCCCAGGAAGTTGCCAAGTGCTCCACTGTTCAACATTCCTTTCTCTTTGAAGTGTACTTCAATGCTCCTACCTATACCAAAGATTATATATGGCCTGCCAACATTGCTCCATAAGCATGTGTCAGAAGAATTTCCTTCAACTGCTCAAATTACTTTCATTAGTTCCTGTCTTGAGGTTTACAATATTCCCATGCCATTTCTTTCTGACATTATTCTTTGTTTCCATGAATCTTTGAGGAAAAAAAACCTGTTAGATGTCATCAATCTTGGATTTTAAATACCAGCAAAAAGACTGATAATACCAGAAGATTAGAATCTGCAGGCAAAATATTCCAGACCCAGAGGTGAAGGGAATGCAATGCAGAAATTCACCAACACTCCTTAGAGGGCACCTTCCAAATCCACATCCACTTCTATCTAGAAGGACCAGGGCAGCAGATACACAGGAACATCACTGCCTCCAGGTTCCCTTCCAAGCCACTCACCATCCTGAGTTGGAAATATTTTGCCATTCCTTCAGTGTCACCGGGTTAAAATTTGGAACTCCCCAGACGTAATTATTCACACAGAGGGTGGTGCGTGTATGGAAATGAGCTGGCAGGGGAGGCGGTGGACGCGGGTACAGTTACAACATTAAAGAAGCGTCTGGATGGGTACATGATTAGGAAGGGTTTAGAGGGATATGGGCCAAATGCTAGCAAATGGAACAAGATAAATTTAGGATATCTGGTCAGCATGGACGAGTTGGACCTAAGGGTCTGTTTCCATGTTGTACATCTCTATGACTATAACATGAACTGCAGTGGCTCAAGATGGCAGTTCATCACCATATTCTCAAGGGCAACTAGGGAGAGGCAATAAATGCTGGCCAGCCAGCGACACCCACATCCTACAGAAGAATATTTTTAAAAATCACCTAATTATTCCCATTTAAAGTATATGACGGTTGTTTGTTGTTAATTCACATTCACTGACATAGAGTTCTATCCTCTTCTTGCAACTTTCTTTAGTCTTCTCACTTATTTACAGTACATCCAGCAATGGTAAAAAATTGTAAATTTGAAAGCCATTCTCGCTCTCCTTACATCCTTTCCCATTGATGGACATAGAGAACAGGAACAGACCCAGAATCAAACATTGTAAAGTATGGTGGCTTTGTTCCACATGTAGAAATGTCTGTAACTCATGTTCAATTATCACATTTCTAGACAGCTTTTTCTGAAGTTGTTAACCTTTTCCTCATTCCACACTTCTAACTGTTCTCCAATAATTTCTATGCAGTATCTATTGAACATTCCATTTCCACTATTCCCATCACCATTCCAGGCACCTCCTTAAAGAACCGTGCTGAGCATCTGTCAACTTTCTTTGATATGAACTTAAAAATTATGAGGAGTAGGCCACTCTGTCACTCAAGCTTGCTCTGTCCTTCCATAGCTGATCTGATTACTCCACATTTCTGCCTACCCTCGATAACTTTTCACCACATTGCTTAACAAGAATCTAACTCTTCCTGGAAAGTTGGTGGCTGGGGGCGGGGTGGGGCGGGGGCGTCTCGGCACAGTAAGTCAAATTCAGCCTCTGATACCAGACCAGAGGACTGAACATTATCATTATCTGGTCAGGGTGTTCTTGGGCAGGGGTTCCTGCCTCTGCAGTTCAGTGAGTTGGTCACAGTTAGTCCTGTGGCTCCATTGTAACCAGAGTGGGTTGTAGGGCTGATGTAGGGTCGGGGAGATGTACAGACATCAGTCAGATCTGTCCACAGAAACCGGACAGGGGTGGGGGTGCGGAGCTGGAAAGCAACAAGGCCACTCACTGCCATGGGGAGAAAACACGAAAACCTACTTGTTTGTATTAAAGGACACAGGCTGGGGTGAAGGGGGTGGGTGACTATTGGGAAAGGGAGCAACTGTATTTGTAAGGGGTGTATACGTAAAGTATGGATGGCAAAGGTGTCATTGAGGAGGGGAGTCTGCTCAGGGTCAGGAGCACCCTGGCTTCAAGTTGGGGCAGAGACAGTGAATGATCACACGTTTGGCATGGTCACCTCATATGCCAGGGGCTTTGGGAGGGGGGGTTCAGAAAGGTGGTTGATGAGGGCTCATATAGACAGTTTGGGAGAGGTCTAGGGGGGTATAAAGTCTTTGGGGTTCATGGAAGACGTATCAGGAAGGTGATCTGGATGTTCAAGGCCTGAGCAACAAGTGGAGGACAAGCTGGATGTCACAGGCCAAAGAGTGTTCACTACCACCCTCCATCGTGCTAGATTCAAAAGTACATAATGAGAAGAAAAATGGCTGTGACCTCACTTGGAATGGGTTTGCTAAGTGCCACAACTCATGAGGGACAGGGCTGCAGGACCCCCCAATGTGAGGCCCTATAAAAGGAAACAGCATTACACACATGCATTGTACAGGTCTCAGGCATGCAGGCTTTCTAATCCCTGACCATCCTAATACATCTGCTCCCAGTATACTGCCACACCTCCCTGCTTCAGGCATCGCTGACCATCTCCTTCACACCAACACTTTTGGACGCAGAGGCCAGGGAAAGAATAGGGATGTTGTAAGAGGAGGGGCAATGGTGTCAGCAGAGTCCATTGCCCTATATACGCCTTGTTCATCTTGCTTCTTTATGCTACAAGCAGCTTTCAATGCAGACGCTGATCCATAGTACATCCTGTATGGACAGGAAGTTAGATACCATGCTGGCACTATTACTTCCAGGGTTACACAGAGACTCAAACAAACAGATGGAGGGCCAAAACAATCAAATATATACAAACACAAAACTTCATATGTCACCCATACCACTAAAGTGCCTTCAATAGGTCGTCCCCCTTTTCTCCCTCCCACTAGATTTCAGTGCAGGCCCTGGATCCAGAGAAGGGGTTGTGGAAGCCTGGGAGATTTGGCCAGGCAACCCCAGGGCAGCTGTACCTGAATGTCCTCAACATGCTGAGGGTTTTCTTACTTGGACTTGAACCTGGACATTCCAGTCTTGAGGAGGGGACACTATCACTATGACACATGACCCTGGGTTGTGCCATTATATTTTGTCTCAGAGGTTTGATTCACTCCCTGCATTTACTTCCTTTTAAGAATTGTAGGCAAACTTTAGCTTGCCATTGCAATTTCTCCCCTTACTGAAATATCCAGCCAATCAACAGTGTGGTTAGCAATAACTGAACACAAAAGCATTTACACCATAGGCTGTAAAAAGTTGTCTTCTTTCTTGAGACACAGTCAATGGACATACACCATGTTCTCTGTGGTTGGTTTCAGAGGCTATTGTACTTAACCCTTTGTCTATCTCACATGGAAAATCTGTAGATTAATGTAACAGACAAAAACACAAAATTGGTCCAAAATATGACCACTCTGTAAAAATTTGAACAACATATAATTAGAGAATAAAGTTCAATAACCCTTAAATACTTTAAATGCAGTATTTCAGTAAAAAAAGTACACTTTATCTCCATATCAAATGAAGAATCATACCCTTGTCACATTGAACTGGATGATTCCTCTGGGGTTGTCATTCTCTTCAATTGTTATTTCTGCCAATTCCATTCCCAAGTGTTTCAAACTGGGTTGTCTTCCAGATCCAGTATCAGCCACTTTGACACTGGTAATGTTAACTAGAAAGCTTTCATGTAATTCAGGAATGTTATCCTATCAAATGAGAAATATCATTTTTCATAAAATCCAAAGAGCAATGTGTTTATTAAAAAGGTCAACATTGATACTGAACAGCATAGGCATCTAACTTGAATCAAAAACACTGTTGTTCAATTTACAGAGTCATAAAAATAACATTAGACATTTTCTCACCAACATTTTCAGAGTTGGGACTTGAACGAAAGCCTCCTAGCTCAAAGGCAGGGACACTAGCACTCTGTCACAAAAGCCTAAGGAATGACACTTGATATTTTTAATCAACTTGATTATAAATGATATTACACACCTCTGAAGCAAATGGGGCTTGAACCTCAGTGTCCTGGCTCAGACACAGGGACATTACCATTGCACCCCAACAGCCCTTTAAACATTTATTGTGTTGATATTGAAGACAGCCAGGATTTGAAAGGCCCCTGTGAGAATTAAACTCTGGACCCTTGGTTTACATGGTTACTGCTCTAACCCTAAGACAGAAATGAAACTACAGAATGTTATGTAACCCATCATACCTATGTCAGTTCCAGTTTATTAATTTAAACTATCTACTCATTTGCAATTCTCTAATCCAACTCCATATCTGTACATTCTTCCCTTTAATGTGTTTGTTCAACTGACCATTTAAATAATGTGTTATTCTCTCTCATTATGAAAACATCATAAGTTCAAATAAACCTTCCAAAGATTCTGTTAATATCTCCTTTTGATTTTTTTTTGATATGTGAAGACCATATTTTTATTTTTCTATATTTTTCAGTGTGCACAAAATAAGGCAAAGGATTAGTTTAAAAGCCAAGGATTATTGAAGGATTGCTGCACTTTTTAAAAAGCAATAATGTATACTAAAGTGCTGTTTTAACTGCTGTTTGTTTAAGCAGCAGGGAAAGCGTTTTCAGACGTGAGCTGGAACCAAGGGGTTGGGTACACATGGAAATTTAGCCAGCAACAAGTAGTTAATTGATTGTGAAATTGCAACCAGTTATTGATGCCAAACAACTGCAATACCTATGTGGTTGGGCCCTCAGTCGCTGAACAACTTTGAAGCGTGAAAGTTCAGGTTAGAACCCATCAGACCTCCAGAAGGAAAAAAAAAATGGTTTTACACTGCAGCATAAAAACTTCTCAAGCCTTCAGTTAGCCAGTTTATTTCCTCTCGCCACTAACTGTCAACTGTGACTTTTAACAAATACATCAGAGACCTTTGTAAGCCTGAATCAGTCCTCCTGTACCTCCTGCAAATTAAGGGAATGTACCTGGAGAAGGAAGATCAAGGATCAACATGTCCTTATGATGTCAAAAGGATCATCTCAGTGAATCCTGTGACAGAGACCACTGAACTACGCTCCCAGTCTTACCTACCATCCGTGGCACTCATGTTCTTTTCTCTTTCTGTACGTATGTGTAGTGGTGTTTCAGCTTTATCCAGTAAAATTATGTTATTGTTGTATACCTGGGGTTAGAATCTATTTGCTTGTTGTAATTATTCATTCTTAGTAAGTACCGAGACGTAGTCTTTGAAGGGTTGTGAATTAGATCGTTGATTATACCTGTTTTTATTCACCACTTCTTTTATTTAGCTGTCTTCTCACATAAACACCCACTTGCTGATACAATGTCAATGGCAGTGTCATATCCTAATGTAATTTTAATTGTATTCCTGACCAAATCTTACATTGTTTCCATCTGCAAACAGAAGCTCAGGGGATGAAACCAGCCAAAAACGCATTTTTAAAAAAAGTATATTTTTTAAAACAAGGTTATTTGTGAAGAAGCAGAATGCCTCACACTGAGTTGTGGAATACCTGATCCTGCTACTATCCATCCCCGAAATAATTTGCTAAAAACCATTTGCCTGGGGAATGGCAGCTTGCAAATTTGACTCCTGCTCACCAGTGTTGAAGCAACCTTATCAGCCTCAGATGGAAGTCAGATTCAGGATACTTTCAAATCTCCTGGGTTACCTGCTACAGGAAACCAGCTGCCTTTGACAGTCACAAACTAATTCATAACCTGTATATTCTCTCATTACCAATCCAAAGTTGGCTAATACACTAATGGAAGGAATTAGCAGTGAGCATATTAAGTTTTTGCCTCATATTTCCACAATAGAGCTATCCACTATTACCTTACTATGAGGATTATATACAAAAAACTACTAGTAATGCCTTCCAAAAATAAGAATATTTATCACCATCCGCTCTTATAAACTTACAGATAGTATTGTAAATCTAATGAAAGCTTGTGTGTCATTCTCCTTTATAATTGCTGTGCCCTGTCTTGCAATGTAGTCCTGGTTTGCAGTTGCTTGATTAACAGGTAGAAGCAAAAGATTTGGTTTGGTACTGTACTGGACAGCAACATCTCCCACAAATCCTTGTTCGCGAACAATTGTTAAAGTGATATTAATTGCATCAACTGTAAAAACATACAACAAAAATAATTAAAACTTATATGTGCAGTCATCAAAACAGTTTAATCTCAATATTGGGTAAAGTTGTACTGTAATATTTTCAATGAATATAGAAATCAGCAGAGATCTAAAACAAACATCCTATTTGCTGTCGATAACAAGGTGTAGAGCTGGATGAACACAGCAGGCCAAGCAGCATCAGAGGAGCAGGAAAGCTGACATTTCGGGCCT